GCGGCCCCGCCTGCCCGCCGCCCGGCCCGCCCGGCCGCGCGCTAACCGGTGATCAAGATGTTCGGAAGCACCATAGTCCCAGACGCGGCGGGCAGGCGCGCGTCAGGTCGCTCTCCGTGCACACTGAGGGGCGGAGCCGGAAGGGACTTAGGGCTGCAGCCGCCCACATCCCGAGGGCCAAAGCTCCCCGTTACAGTTATCTCCGCTGTGCAGCCACCGGCCCTTGATCACTTGACCTTTTATAATAAGCTTCTAACATAGATTCAGATCCAGAGGCTCAACTCTAGCACGGGCTCTGACCAGGCAGTGCGCTGGCCACCTAAAGCGCTCACTCCTCTGCGGCCCCTCCCTTCGCGTGCGTCGCGGGAGCGCCGGCCAATGTAGAAGGCCCCCAGGAGGCGGATCCTCTGGGAGCTTCTGTGCTGACCCGGAGAGGCCGGGGTGGCTGAGCATCCGCCCGGCGCGGAACCCAGGTTCCTCCGCTCCTCCCTGCCCACGAGGGTATGCAGCTCCTGGAAGGTAAGGACGCCGCGTCTGCCGCTGTGTTTACTGTACGCCCGAGAGACCTTAGGCCCCCTCTCCCTTCACGCCTTCCTCAGGCTCCCGTCGCTCCTCCTCCCGACCCGCCCATTTCATCTGGGGTTGAGAAGGATGAGGGGACAGAGCTCTGGGCTCGAGTGGGGACGTGTGAGCTCACTCGGCTCACCGCTGATGAAGGATTATGGGGGACGAATGCCTGAGCCTAGTACTCCCTCTATTACATACCGTGTGAGGTGGTGGTGGGTCTGCCGGGCACAGTCTTGAAGTTTTCACTCTTCTGTGTCGCCTGAGAAATCCGGTCATCGGAGACAGTTACCTACTTTTTAAAATACGTAACTGTCGCACTTGTTTTCAAAGAGTAACTAAGAACCTTGACCTTAGCAGCAGTCTGCACTCTTTACTTCGACCAGCCACCTGCATTTACTGAAACAGATTTTTCTTTTGCACCACTCCGTCTTTTTGAAACATCGTAGTCGCTGTAGTCCGTTAACTGTTTGCGGTGGGGGAAGGATTTGTTTTCTCGTGTGTGTTTGCTTTATAGGTTGTGTGTTTCTACAAGCTGTGACACAGCCCAGTGCACCTTCAGCGTTTACGTCTGTTGGCTTAAACTTTTCTTCTGGTTAAGTTGAAATTATTTAATTCACTAGTTTGCAGAAGCGTTTAAGAATTTCGAAACTTGAAGAACGCAGTGTTGCCCAAAAGTTTTCAAATTTCATGTTCAATTAAGGAAGACGGTTACAGAAATGTTTTGCGGTAGAATTTAAATTCTTTGTACAATATAAGTGATAAGTCTGAACTTATTGTATTTTCTTTTTAAAAAACTTGGAAATGAATGAATTCGCAACTATGAAATGGTTTACTATTCAGATACAGTTGTCTAATTTGTTTATTACAAAAGGATACACAGTATTCACTTCAGCAGGACATATTAAAAAAAAAAAAGTAGATACACAAATACATGGTTTAGGGCCAGGGGAGATAGCTCAGTAGAATAAGCGCTTGCCTGGCAAGTTCAAGGTCCTGAGTTCAATCCCCAGTACCGAAAAAAAAAAAAAGAAAAGAAAAAGAAAGAAAAGAAAAAAGAAAAAAAAAGCGGTCAGTGTAGTTCAGGCTGACCTTGAATTTGCTACGTAGCCCACACTGCCCTTGAGTTTGTAGAGTTAGATTCTCCTGTATCAGCCCCTCTCACTTCTCTAAGTGCTAAGAATACTGGCGTATGCCACGACACCCGGGTGCTGCATGACTTTTCTCTTTTACTAATTTATTAGAGTTCATATGAAATTTTTATTTTATTTATTTGTTTATTTGTGCCGGAACTGGGAATTGAACTCAGGCCCTTGCACTTGCCAGGCAAGCGCTTATTCTATTGAGCCATATCCCTGGCCCCTGAAAAATTTTAAGTTTATAATACCACAAGTAGATTGTTATAGGTAGTCACTAAAAGTAAAACTTATGTACCGGTTCAGTGTGTTCTTCTATTTTTTTTTTTTTTTTTATGTTAAGAGTCATTATATTTGCTTTTCTTGAGCTTTTTTATTATTTTGTTGCTTATATCAGTGTAAACGTTTGTAAAAATTCAGTATTTACAATTTTTCTTTATTTGAGGTGGTTTCTCTTTCTTCTCCCCCGCCCCCAGGTGAATTATATTTTAATGTACTCCAGGTTGTGTACTACGGATGGAAACTGTTCAAGTTTATAATGTCAAAAACTTTTCTTAGACCAAAGGTGTCTTCCATGAAGGTATGATACACTAAAATGGCCATGTTATAATAGTCTAAAAATAATTATAAATTGTTATATGCTTGTACTCTCTTATTATGTTTGTCCAAGTATTTATTGTAGTAAGCTGAACAAGTCTGGTAATAAGTTATAAAACCACAACCTTAATTTTGAAAAAGTTTTTATCATTGAAGTCACAAAATAAAAGCTGAAACTCCAGAAGTAAAGAATATAGATGAGAAACATATATGAGTAGTAGTTAATATTACAGTTTAACAACAGGCCTTACCTCTTAGAAGTCATGCAGTTCAGTTTAACAGTTCTTAGGGGTCAGGCAGTATCATACAAAACAGCTATTTCCCTAGTGTTGGTTTTAATTTTTTTTTAAGTCTTAAGTCACTTATTTAACTTTACTATTTCACTTATATTTTTAGTAGATGTGAGTCCACATTTATGTAAGAAGTAAAATGTATAAATAATATATGAAACAAAATTATTCTCAAAAAGTTTACTGGAATAAAAATATTTTGATGGTGCTGAGGATGTAGCCTAGTGGCACAGCACTGGCCTGGCAAGCATGAGATCCTGAGTTTGATTCCCACTACAAAAAAATATTTATTTTTTTCACGTACTCTGTTTGAGATAAAGTCTTGATATGTAGTCCAGACTGGCCTTGAATTCATTATATACCTCAGGCAGGTCTCACACTATAATCTTCCTGTCTCAGCTTCCCAAGCACTGGGATTATAGGTATGTGCCACCACACCTGGCTTCACATACTCTTAAACATAAAGGAAAGGCAAAAGTGTAGTGTCTGTGATAGCCTTTTGACAAAGAGAAAATGAATTGTGTAGCTATGATTGAATATATTTTCAATAGTCTTTTTTACCCACTGCCAGTGTTTCTACCCCATGTTAAAAAAAAAGATTGAAGTGTGACTGAGCACTCATAAAATGTTAATAAGCTGTAACTTCCCTTTCTTGAGCTTGTTTTCACTTTCAGCCTTTTATTTTTTCCTTCTTGAGAAAAGCATTATCTAGTAATAGCTCACAATTGTAGCTAAGCGGCTTCTAGTGCATATTAATTATACAAAAGTAAAAGTAATGGGTGTCATTATGACATTTTCTTTTTTTTTTATTGAGCAGAATATATTTATTAATGGAAAGGAAGCTCCTGTCCGAGAGAGGGACAGGAGAGGGGCCCCCAAGCAGGTAGTTCCCCCGACATTTTCATACATACATACAAAGTACAACATATTTATTTCTGGTGGTGCTCAAAATTAAAGTCGAGGACTGGGCATCTTTGTAAGTTCTGTGCCACTGAGCTACATGTAGGCCTTGTATTCTTTTTTTTTTTTTAATTTATTTATTTGTGTGTGTGTGTGTGTGTGTGGGCGGGCTGGCTGGCATGTGGTGCTGGGGGATTGAACCGTGGTCCCTGTGCTTTGCTAAGCTTGTTCTAAGTAGGTGCTTTAGACCACTGAGCCAT